GTGACTTGAGATAACCAGGGTGCAGGAACAGTGCTGTCCTGGTGAGTTTAGCAGCTGGGAGCCTTCACCTTATGGGTCGAAATCAGATTGCTTTTACACCACTTCATCAACTATCAGGTGGCATGATGAGCTCTACAGCTTTTGATGTTTCTGGTTTCGTCTTTATTATAACGTTTTTGTATTTAAATGAACAGTGATTTATTTTGTGTCCATGTGTCCTTTTCATAATGATAACATTTTTAGAACTTCTTTCAGTGGCTGTGTGTGGTTCACCCCTCTGCCCCAGTCACTTCCTCCAGCAAAGGGAACGATCCTCGTGTAGACTTCCAGAGTCCAGGGACTTCTTTCCTCCTTGAGCTGCTCTTCTCTACAGCTCTCAAAGTGAGAGTTGGCTCTTCTGGTAATTTTTGCAAACGAATGTGCCTTTAAATTATTCTTTAAAGAGCTCTGGAATGAAGTGTTAGAGTTATGCAGTCAAATTAGGAAATAGTGAATTTTTCCCTTCATTCTTGTGGAGATGCACTCTCTTCTACTGCAGTAATGTAATAATACCACGCATTCTGTTCCTTCGGTGTAACTATTAATGACAGGGTGGTGCCCCTTAGATTTTTTTTTTTTATTATTTATTCTAAATGCCTTCTGGTTATTGTACTTAGAGTGTGGCCTCCAAGGTGTGTTGCAGAGTGCTCTGTCAAAGTAATCTCTGTACTGTCAGTGTTGGTTTTCTGTGAGGAACTGTAACTTGGAATCCAACAGTCCTGTTGCCTAAAACTTGCTGGGCATTACCGGAAGGAGCAAGGAAGCAAGGAGTGCTTGTTCCCATTTACCACCGTCTGCTTAGTTCAGCTCACGATGAGTTTCTAAAGAATTCCACTTGTGTTTCTGCATTATCATTTGAGAGAGGTCTTGTTCCTCCTCAGATCAGAAGTGAACAGAAATTGCAATTCTGCTGTGCTTGGCTGCACCGTGAGCTGCAGTAATCCCGCTTTGCTGGGTGCCCTTGGTACTGCCTTTGTGCCTTAGACTGTCTCTAAGAGGTCTGCTCTTTGATACTGCAGAGCATAATTGCCATACTGATACAGCGAAAGTGGATGCAAGTGACAAATGTTGCATCTTAGGAATTAATAGAAAGGAAGACTATGGAATGGGTATTCATATATAATTTAGCTTAGAAAATGTATAGACTACATCATATCTTGCCATGTTCTTGGTAATCGGAGGGAAGGTTGCTGTCTCAGTGGGCTTTTTTTGTAAACTTATATTAGAAGAAAACCAGAGGAGAGAAAAAAGGAGGACATAGTTATTTTGTTTGTTTAAACAACTGGCAGAGTAACCTGAAGTGCAGCGGTGAGTGTTGGAATTCTGACTGCCCACATACCTTTCTGGACAGGCATCCAGAGGGTGCAGTGCCACGTTCATGGCTGGGGGTTGCACGAAGTAGAGCTCTTTTCCTGGCTGCCCTCTGGGTGTGCGCTCCTGCTGCAGCCCTTCTGCTCTGGAGCTGTCTGACCTCGTAGTGAGCCATGACAGGGAGCTTACCTTATGGGCACTGGGCTGGGGGGAGATTTTGGCTTTGGTTGAACACTGAGTAGCCTCATACACGGACTGGATGAGCATTGGTGTCGGCACCAAGTAGAAGGAATGCGGTTTGAGGAAAGGTGCCACTGCTCTGAAAGCAGCGGGTCAGATGGGCCTCATAGCACAGCTCCCAAGGCTGTATTTCCTTCGTGTCAGGCAGAGGAAGCAACTGCAAGGGAAGCTGTCCTGGATGCGAGCCTAATGGGCTGAGCATAGCTAATGTAAAAATGGAAGGCATTTCAGTAAGGATAAGGCACCTTCGTGGTTACAATTTTCTGTAAAGAAACAGTAGTAGAAAGAAGTACATTTCAGTATTTACTAGTTAAACAGAGGGGATGTATGAAAGATTCAAGGGAAGCAAACTGAGATGGAAGGAACTGCTGACTTGTGTGTTCTGCAGTAGTTTGGCCTGGGTTGTACTAATAAGACTGGCAGCTGTGGTCTGTTCCAGTGTTGCTTTGATAAGAAGGATCAGTTGGCACAAGAACCTGCATCTGGGGAGTTGGAACAAATAATATGTGAATGTGAAAGTGAAAGGCTTGTCTCAGAAAAAGGAACAAGGTGGTAAGCAGTTAGCTGCGAATGTGGTTTAAGAAGGGGATACTGTTTGTACTGAGAGGACGACTTGATTATGCTTGATGCTGAGTTGTTGAAAATGCTTATCCAGCATTGCTTTTCATGAGTTTCAGGTTTTATTGCCCTCAGAATTTTTTTTTTTCCCTAAAAGGACAAATTTTGATGTAATGATGACGCTAAGCAACTTTGGCTGCTGCCAGAGGGGATTGTGTCTCTCTTCCTCCCATCCTGCTGCCAGAGCCAGTTACTGGAGCGCTAATTGCTTTGGGGAGAACAACAGGAGAGCCGCTGCTCTGTCCGTTACCCTTCCCTAAGCTGTCACAGATCAGCCTGGTGCAAGGCAGCAGTAATAAAGACTGACAGTGAGGGGACAAGACCACACCTCGTGGTAGCCAGCTGTTACCCAGGTTTCGTTCTAACATGACAGCTTTAGCCTTGGAGCTCAACTTAACCACCTAAAATTCATGCTGGGGCTTTGAAGAAACAGTCAGAAACAATTTCACAGCTCTTTGAGAACTTGTGAAGGACAGGTGGCACCCCAGAAGATGGGGGAGGGCCCTGCAGTGGCACTGCTTTCAGTACTGTTAGAAAGGTGGGAGCTGGGGGCTTGTGACCCATCAGCTTCACTGCACGTTGTGGGAAATATGGGTGGCAGAAAGTGTTTGGCCCGGTGATCACCTGGAAAATACTAGTCTCTTTGTAAACAAAAACAGGAATTTTTTTGATGTGAAACTGGACTAATCCAGTCCAGCTTCTTTCTATGGCCAACTGAGACCTGCTGGATAGCTGCACTTGACTTGGTCTTTCATTCTGCTATGCAATGAACATAGCATATGCCACTGAAACTGGTGGCATAGGGAAAGAGTAACTGGTTGGAAGACTGTACTTGGACATGGATGATCAAGGACAAAGATCCGTTGGGTTTCTGAAGAGCTCTGTCTTGAAGTGCTTGTTGCCAGGTTTGGGGAAGATTTGGTCTATAGTGTCTGTATAGTAAACCAGTGTAACAACAAAGGCAGCTGGCCTGTTTGATTCAGAACCGTTCTGGCAAACTGAGGTAACTGCTGCACTTTTAAGCAGAAGGCTCCAGTTTCAGATGAATGAAGTGTTGCGTTTGAGTGGGAGGAATCAGCTGTGCAGCCATAGTGGAGAATGAATGCAGAATAGAAACTGGAAGCTTATAGGCTGGTTGGCTATGGTTTTTAACATGCTTTTGTGTTGAAAAATAAGCTTCCAGAGTTCTATTCACACTTGATGTTTATTATCAGGAGTGAGGTGGCTGAGCTGCCAGCTGACTTGTTGAAGCAAGGTGCAGTGTCCCTGTTAGTAGTTTCTGTCCAAACTTAATCTGGGGTTAGGGAGCTTCTGATAATAGAGTCTTTTTTGCTTAAAAAAAGTAAGTCATACCCAAGAATTCACTTTAGTTGCTGTATCTCCCATGTGGCTGAGGTTTATCAAATGCAAGAGGATCAAAAAAGTCTTGTGAGTTTTGTTTGTGACTGTGTGATGCTGTGTTACCACAGTTGGTCTCTTTTCATAAAAAGATGGCTTAACCAGACAGGCGTGAACAAGTTCTGCTTGTTTGAAGGAAGTGATGAGCTAAAACCCCTGTGAATTCTTGCAACAGAACTATACCTTGCAGCAGGTTTTAGTTTGAGCTCTGCTCTGGCTTTGCAGTTTACAATAAAGTTAATTTTACAGTTTCTAATGTCATTTTATTTGGAAGATGTTAATTGCTTGTATTGTACTGAAGAGGTGTAAACTGGAGTCTGACAAAGCTATGATAAGGTGATACAGCTGAACACGGGTAGGTTCTTAATTTGCTTGTGGAATCAGTTGCCCTCTCCCCCTGCCCTTTTGCTGTAGCTGTTGGTGTCAGTATTTCAGTAGCCAGCCAGTAGACAGCAGTACAGGCATAGCTGGTGCTGCATTGGATTACGGCACCTGGGAAGAATAGTTTGAATGCAGAAAGCAACAAAGGTGTCTTGCTGCTAGGGGAGAAGATCATTGTTACACTGCGGATAAGCCACTCATGATGTGTGTGTGAATGTTGTGTGCATGCTTGGTGCTGCTAACATACGCAGGCTGAGCTGTTACTGCCTGCTGTTGTGACAGACTCACAGGAAGGATGGAGTGCATTTCAATAGTAGCATTAGAAGGTTCTCAGCAGTATTGCTGACCTGTTACTCAGACTGCAGTAGCAGTTGCAAATGCAGCTTGCTTTTAGGCTTGAGAAACTGCTGTTGTTTTCTGACAGCAAATTATTCTCACTGTGGTGGTTTTTAGTTTAATGTTAAGCATTGATGGGTTAGGAGGGGAAAAAGGAGGGTGATGTAAAACATTGTGATTAACAAGAGTCACCCGTTTGGGGTAATGGGGTAAACAGTTGTTTATCTTCATAGCAGAAGATTATGGCTGGCCTACTTTGTGTTTTTCTGTCATTGCTGTCCACAAATGGCCATAGCAAATAACAGAAAAGAGCTGCTGTGAATATCCATCTGCAGGTACTTGTTACAATCTGTATGTCTTATCCATCTGTAGTGTCTTTCCAGAAATATTTAAGTATGGATTTATGTAGGGTGGTGTGCCAAGAACATGCGGCTTAGCTCAGTAACTGAAGTCTGGTATGTTTGTGTAGGAGAGAGGGCTCCACCTACTGGAAAAACCTACAAGTTGATAGACTGTGTCTGGAATGAGGAGTTCGATAAGTGGTTTCTTATGTCAGGTCCCATGGTTTGGGAATGGGACCGTTTGTGAGGAAATAGGGGTGTGTTTTAAAGTCTGAGCTCTGAAAATATACTTGTACCTTTTTTAATGTTGACTTCACTTTTTAATTTTTTTAATAGGAACATCATCTCCAACGGGCTATCTCAGCACAACAAGTATATGGAGAGAAGAGGGATAACATGGTTATACCAGTCCCGGAAGCAGAAAGTAATATTGCATACTATGAATCTATATATCCTGGAGAATTTAAAATGCCAAAGCAGCTGATTCACATACAGCGTAAGTAAAGCAGTTGCTAGAGTCTACACCAGGAACTTTATTTTAACAGCAGTTAAAGATCACTCTTAAATGTGTTGTGAGCTCCTATCAAATCTAGCTTGGGAGCATTTATTTCTTCCAGCGTTTAAATAGTATGAACTCCCCTGTCATACCTTCTTAGAGGAATATTAAGCTCTTCTTCAAGAAGAAGATAATGTCATTCTATGTCTGTATGTTCATACTTTAATTTTAGCAGTTTCACTGAGTTGTATACATGTTAGGATGCTGGTGGTGTTGGAACACCAGTTGCTCTGCTTGGATGTGGACCTTGACATGAGCACATTACTTTGGACACCTTCCAAAAACATTGTAAAATGTATTGCAAAACTGTCATATGGTGTTATTTTTTAAATTCTGATAATCTGTTGCGTACACAGGCATAGTTATGTCTTGCTAGCTGGCTTAATGTTAGGCTTCTGTGTCAGTCTGATCTTCAGTAATAAGCTGAAGTAGCAGAGCAGCATGCTCTAATAAGCAAATTGAGAGACTAATACCAGAAGTCCTCATATGCTGATGCTAAGGTGCAGTTTTTCACTCTTCTTTTGTTTATCTACTAGTGGTCTCTTAGTTGCTTTGACATCATTCAACTGCATTTTTTTTTAAAAGCAAGTCATACTTTTCACAATGTGAAATGCATGCTTAAGAAATTGATAGTTCTGAGAAGCCAAAGCGGTTTGCATGAAGCCGAGAACGAGGGATGTTCTGGATGCTGTATTTTCAGAGGATGTTGTAAAATACTGAACAGCTTGTTCTGTAATACCTGATTTATAATTGAAGGTCCCCTGCCACGTTGTGTAGACAATGCTATAGGACTAGTTTGGTCTGGCACCTTTAGATCACAAAAGTCATTGAGAAGGATTGTGAGGTCTCTGCACTGTGCATGTAGTTCTCTAGGAATACCTCTTAAATGCATTTAAGCTGGAGTCTTAACTTCTGACATGGATGCTACAACATGAAATTGTAGAACATAAGATGGTAGTGAAGTCTGACCAATACAGCAAGTTCTCCTTAAAAGTAGTGGGGTTGATTACCTCTGAATGTTTTGAACACTGTAAAGCTTTCAGTAGTTAATAAAAGCATGCTCAAGTAGATATCAGTGTCTATCCTTGATTTCATTCATATAATTTATTTCAGTAAAAAGGAAGGTGTTACTTCTCAGTGTGTTCAAACGTTATTTTGGTTTTGTCTTCAGAAGGATCTGGCACAAACTCCAGACACTGCTATTAGAACGGAACGTTTCTGTAGTGGAACAGTGACTTGAGCTTAATTTGTGTTGTTCAGCTTTTAGTTTGGACGCTGAGCAGCCGGACTATGACATGGATTCAGAAGATGAGGTCTTTGTCAATAAGCTGAAGAAGAGAATGGATATCTCTCCTTTGCAATTTGAAGAGATGATAGACCGACTAGAAAAGGGCAGCGGTCAGCAGGTATGGTGTTGCTTTGAATAAAAAATCTGAAATGTGCGTTGTATGTAATGCCATATGACAGTGACATACTGGGTTTTACATTTAGCCAGTCAGCCTGCAAGAGGCCAAGCTGTTGCTGAAAGAAGATGATGAATTGATCAGAGAAGTATATGAGTACTGGATTAAAAAGAGGAAAAACTGTCGAGGGCCCTCTCTTATCCCAGCAGTGAAACAAGAAAAGAGAGATGGCTCCAGCACAAACGATCCTTATGTTGCTTTTAGAAGACGAACAGAAAAGATGCAGACAAGGAAAGTAAGTAGACTAATGCTTCCCTGTCACTTGCTTCTCTTCTTTCTTTTCCCTCTCATAAAGTAGCTTATCTAAAGAGACAAACTTGCTAGGTAGTGTAAAGTAATACAGGTTGACTTTTTGCTTGTTTTTTTCCCTTTTAATTTGCAAGAAAAAAAAAGATTAACAACTTCATACCAGCTGTTGAAGGAAGTTTGTATTCAGTAGTTTCTTGCTCTCTAAATTGGATGCTAAACCTGCTTGTGATGGCAGAAAGCTGTAGCTTGTTGGTAGATGCATCTGTTTCTCTTCATTTGTTTTAGCATGTGGTTTAGAAAACCAAATATTTACAGTTTATTTTTAGTTCAGATTATGTAATTTAAATGATGTGAGAAAACATAAAAACATTTTTTTTATCTGCAGAATCGAAAAAATGATGAAGCGTCTTATGAGAAGATGCTTAAACTGCGTCGAGACCTGAGTCGTGCAGTAACCATCCTGGAGATGATAAAAAGAAGGGAAAAAAGCAAGAGGGAGTTGCTGCATTTAACACTGGAAATTATCGAAAAGAGGTAATGTTTTCTGCAAATGTGCTACAGAAAGCTTTGGAAACTGCTGTAGATTTCAATTCTCATGAATATTTTATAAAATACAAGAGATTATCTTAAAATGAAAATTTGAATTTTTCTGCTCTTAACAATATAGCATATTTTCATTTATGGTTCTGAAGAGCAAAATTGTATTTAGGGAGTCATCACTGTGGAAAAAGCAGCCTGCTACATTAATGTGCATTGTTGTATTACATGTGTATTCAAACACTTGCATCTCATGTTCTATGTATTATGTAGGAAGAAAGAATGTAGCTTCAGGTAAATTCCTTTAGAAATTGATATGTTAAACTTAACTGTGTAGATTAATGAACATCCCCCTAAAGAAAACAAACAGACATCTCATTCAGCATAACATACTGTTCTGTGAGTAGTTTCCAACTACTCCTATTTGACAGCTGTGCAGGAGACTAAAGCTCTGCTTAGTCAGCTGTCACTTTCACAATGAACTGAGAATCACATTTGAAATGTGGAGTTGTTCTTCTAGGCAGATGGAATTCAGGAATCTGAATGGACGTATCAGATTTAAGTGTCCGTGTTAAGATGTTTAGAGTCGGTACTGTAAAGCTCTAAAACAAACTTCTTATGATCGAATTTGAGTCCTTGGAAACACAAGCTGAGTATTTCTGTCTTTTCTATCAGGTGCTCTTTTTTCAAGCAGTGACCTTGTCTAGTAGAGTTAGAGGAGAGATGCACTAGTTTTTAAAGAAAGTAAGCTCTTGAACACAATTACTAAAAAAAAAAAAAAAAAAAAACTGACCATCAAATTAGCAGTGTGCTCAGGTCTTGAAATGTACTGCATTTCATGGTTTCTACATCTTGTAAAGCTATGCTATTACACAAAGAGGAATAAAGCTTTCTGCCACACTGTTGAACAATTTTGGGGATAAATTTTTTCTTTTAAGTGGCGTTGTCCCCAGGTAAGGAGGGAAAGACCTTGTCCTGCTCTTCCTTCAGGTTTTTGTTTCCTCTTCTTCCCTTTGCATTATTTTTTAACAGACGGTTATCCTTATTTGTCAGAACTAGGCATTGCAGTAAAAATTTGCATACTATTTGTCTCTTCTGTAACAGTCGTTTTTGAACTGCGTGCTGACTTCTTGGGAGTCCTTTTGTCCCAGATAGAAAGTATTGTTATTCTGTGTTTAACTGTTGCATGTTTGTGTTTTTACTGGTGTTATGAATATTCATAAGGGTGATTTTATGTTTTTTTTTTTAATTACAGGTATAATTTGGGTGATTACAGTGGAGAGATTGTGTCTGAGGTCATGGCACAGCGGCAGCCAATGAAACCTACCTATGCTATTCCCATCATTCCTGTGACTAACAGCAGTCCTTTCAAACATCAAGAAACTATGGAACTGAAAGAATATAAAGTTAAAGTGAGTAATGTCAATAACAGAGTTGTTATATGCTGTGACATAAGCAAACTACAGCATTTGAGGATGTATCTGCAGAAAATATTCTTAATTGAGAAGGAGTTGGGAGCTTTTGGGTGCTGGAAATAGACTAGCAGGGCTGCTTTAGGAGTGAAATGCTTTGTTCTGTTGGAGTGATGAAAACCTAGAAACTAATGGAGTTCCTCAGGACCAAAACAGAAGGAATTTAGATGAACTGCAGACAGAAGGATATTTGCAGTTGTTATGTTAAACTTTTGCACTGGTTGATATTGATGCTTTAATCAGATAATGTCCCTGAAGTTAAGATATTCCGAACAGAGCTGTGTTTGTTTCCCAGATATTCAGTAAAGATAGGACTGATAAGATAAAACCCTTAGTCTGTTGTGAATTCATGTAGCTATTTTAATCCACAGGTTTGCTTGACTCAGTGTATGTATTTTGATGTGAGCCACTGACATTCCTAGTATGCTGTATGTCTGTGTTTCATAGATTCATAGAATTGCTCAGGTTGGAAAATATCTTAAAAATCAAGTCCAACTGCAGCCTAACCATACTACCCTGGTTTTGTACTAAGTGCAGTATCACTTAGTTATTGAGTTACCTGACCAGTGTTTTCTTCCTGCTGGCTTTGCGCCATATGTAACATATCTACAATACCAACAGCTTAGCATGTTACATACATCACATAACTTCAGAAAAGCTGAAGTACATTCGAATTTTGCACAGATTTCTTGTACCTCAAGAATGTCCAGGAACTGTTTGGGATCTGACAGGATAGCTTGAATCTATCAATGTTTCCACTGATAGCAGGACACTGTATTTGAGATTGCTGAAGTGAACTCATCTATGAGTGATGCTGGGTTGATGTGGTATCTCAGGGCTTGGAAGAGGCACGTTTGTCTGAAAATGTAGAAAATGCATTTGAACCTGCATGGGGAAATAAGTTTAATTTTTGTTTTCAGAGATTCTGGGTATCTTTGAGGAAGTCAGCTTTTGCCTTTTTGCCTTATTTGGTTCTTGATTTCCCCATCACTGCATAAATACTTACGAACATTAGCCTAACAGCACTGTTGCATACATGCTGATCTGTTTCCCCAGAGTAGCAAATTCACTTTGACCACTGGTGTTCTGTTGGCGATGGCTACAGAGCAAATGGTGCTTAATTCCACTCATTTCAGTTATTAGAAGTGAAGTACAAATATTCTTGAAAGGTCTGCTTCTGTAGCTATTAAGATGCTGGAGTGAAGATGTTAATGCTTAGTTTGCTTACATGGTAGTTTTGTAGAGCTACTTTTGTAGTCTAATATAACGTGTGTAAAAATTTGCTGCTGCTTTTCCTTTCAGCAGGATAAATCCGATGTTATTCGGCCCAAAAGAAAGTATGAGAAGAAGCCAAAAGTCTTACCTTCATCTGCTGCTGCTACTCCTCAACAGACAAGTCCTGCTGCACTGCCAGTCTTTAATGCTAAAGATATGAATCAGTATGATTTCCCTAGCTCAGATGAAGAACCCCTTTCCCAGGTGGGATCTCTAGAATTCTTCCTCCCTGTTGGGAAAGGGATAGTAATAAAACTTACACACTTACCAATACCTACTTTTGCCCATTCTGCTTGCGTTTTACAGGTTTTGTCTGGTTCTTCAGAGGCTGAGGAAGAAAATGATCCTGATGGTCCTTTTGCCTTCCGTAGGAAAGCAGGCTGTCAGTACTATGCTGTAAGTAGAATTTCCTTGTGTACGATAAGACAGAGCATTGTTGATGGGAAAACTTATGTGTTTAATTGTTTGTAATTATTTTAAGCCTCATTTAGACCAACCTGGCAACTGGCCATGGAGTAGCCCTAAAGAGGGAAGATTAGGAGATGTGCGTTACAGATACTGCTTAACCACTCTGACAGTACCCCAGAGGTGTATTGGGTTTGCACGAAGGCGGGTCGGCCGTGGAGGAAGGTGAGTGCTACAGTTGTGATCATTTTTTTGGTTGTTTTCACTTAAAAAAAAAAAAAAACAAAAAAAAAACCAAAAAAACCACATGGATATATATGTAAGTCATCTCTGAAATGAGCAAAGATAAAATGCACAAAACAAAAAAAACCAACCCTTAAACCATCACAGAAGTTGGTATTTTAAGTACTTCTATTTGATGGTTTCCTCAGCAGATCAGTGTCTCCACTTTTGTAGCAGACACTGATTTAATATTGCTTGCTGAAAAGTTTCTCAACTTTGTTTATTGTCAGCAGTGCTCAGTTCTGAGGTGAAGACAAATGTATGGTTTTAGCTGTAGTTGTTTCATATTGAAGTGATTGGCGTAGTGTAAGACAGGATTTTGTGTATGGAGGTTGAAATAATAGGTTTTTGATGAAAATGCTTTTCTTAGTCCTGCTATAAAGGAGAATTTTGGAAGGAATTTTTAGAAGTGAAAGTAACAGTTAAGTTCTGAATCTTAATGAATTCAAGTCTGTTAATTCAAGCATTTTACTTTTGATCTACTGTAATGATTAAAAAACAATTATAAATCACTTAGTGTACAAGTGTGCTTCTGTGAACACCGGGTATCTTGATGTCAGCTTTCCAGTCTTCTTTTTTTTAAATCATTATTTGGAAAAAATTGTAATTTGGCATTCAGATTTGCTTAGAATCTCTTAGTGTATTAGCAGGTGACGTTAGGAGCTGCAGGCTCTTAGTGGCATTTTGATCAGGTTGTGGTAGCTTTTGGTTCTTTGTGGAGTGATGGTAGATGTGCTGATGTTTAGTAAAGCGCTTACATTGAATTTGCTGTAAGAGGGCACTTAATTACTTAAGCATTTCAGTGTCCACTTTTATTGTGCCCCAGAAATGTTCGAAGCTGATGGAAGACTTCTGCAGCTGATGTTGCAGTACCTCAATAGCTCCACCATGGTGTACACCAGTTACTCATACAGTAAAAGCTAGAACATAGAAATCTAAATGTACTACTTCCTGTAAAGCACTAAAGATATGGTCATATTTCCTGTGCCTGTTTTCACAAGCCATGTGTTCTGGAGCAACTTTGTGGGTTCTTCTATTTTATGTATATCTTCCCCAAGCACGCATGACAAGCTGGTGACTTCTTGGTATTTGCCACTGTGTAATTCTGCATTGTTTTCTTTTAGGGTGCTACTAGACAGAGCGCATTCGGACTATGATAATACATTTCATCAGCTGGATTTGGAAATGCTTTCCTCATCACAACACTCTTCAATCAGTCAATTTGCCAATACCTCAGAAACAAATACCTCGGACAAATCTTTCTCAAAAGACCTCAGTCAGATACTAGTCAATATCAAATCATGTAGATGGCGGCACTTTAGGCCTCGGACACCATCCCTACATGACAGTGACAATGACGAACTCTCCTGTAGGAAACTGTACAGGGGTATAAATCGAACAGGCACAGCACAACCTGGGACCCAGACATGCAGTACCTCTATACAAAGTAAAAGTAGCAGTGGTTCAGCACATTTTGGTATGTTTACTTTGACAAACTTGCTTTTAGAAATACTGAACTTGGCTCAGAGAATCCTGAATATGGTTAGGTCGTGCATACTTTGTTTTGATTATAGCAGCCTATCTTTTATCTTTGCTGCACAGAATGCTTATTCTTAGTTATTGCCAACAGTAGTGTAATGCATTACTTATACAGACCAAGTATATATAGTTAAGATTTTAGAAACGTGGTGGTTTAGAAGCAGTATTGTATGGGGTTGAAGGTTATGGGGTTAACCTGGGATATCTAAACTTTGAAAATTAAAAATACTTTGATTTAAATATTGATACAAAGATGATGTTCTAAATTTTTTGGAATGCGGTGGTTTGGCTGAAATGTCTGCATTTAAACTCCCACTGTGCTTATGAATTCTCATTTGGACATGGTAAAACTAAATACCAACTGCCATTCAAAAAATAACCCCATCTATTGCTATTTGCGCTGTGCATGTGTGCTCACGCTTAGCAGAGCTCTGGGACCTGTATATCCCACCAGCATGTGGCAGGTGGCTTTTGTAGAACCCGAGTTCTACAAAACAACCCGAGAGCTGAGGATCTGACTGTAAGAAGGTTTGATGAAACTTGCTGTGTTGGAACTGAAATACTGTTGGATAGCATCTCTGTATTGGGTTCATCTCAGCGATTGGCTGGTGCTTGTGTAGTTAGCATACGACCTAGGGAACTTGAGTTTTGGTCTCTTAAGTCTCACCTTTTTATAGAAAGGGAACTGAAGTGGGTTTCTTTTTTTGTAGTTTTGCAAGTTCTTTACTGCAATTTCTTAAGGAGTAAAAATCCATTTTCCCTTTCAAGTTACAGTTTTGAAAAAAAAAAAAAGCAAAAACTGGGAAACATAGGGATGTGGTGCATATATGGCTGTAGGTGCATATACTCAACTTCCCAGATTGTGGGATGTTTTGGGGACTTGCTGAATGGTATTCTGGTATCTGATTTATCTTCCTGTTCTCGAGTATATTTTGTCCATTTCCTCATCTTAATTCCTTGCACCCCCTTATTTTTGCTGAAAATTGCTCCTTGTTTTTAGAATGATTGAATGGCTTTATTCAGCTCCATTCTTTCATACTTCTCCATGCTGTCCTAGAGTAGATCCTTGTCCCCAGCACCACCCTCCACCCCTTCTTTCATGACTTCTCACAGGAAAATGTGTTAGGTCTAAAGCTGGGGGTTGTGATCTAAGTTTGGCTTTCGGTGTTTGAATTCAGGCCCTTCTCTCAAATGAGGCTTTGTATCAGTAAACCATGTCTAGAACTAGAGTGTCATCTGCCCAATGTAAGAAAACAAAACTGTGTGGTGGATAATGTATTCTCTATAAATATTCTCTGAAATATTGATAGGCAGTGCATCATACCTGGAAATGAGACTTAACAAAAATGAGTAGATTGAGTTCAAAACACGTGTCTGTGTATATATGTATACATATAAAAAATTCTTTAAGAATGTTTTCCTTTAAAAGATGGTTGAAATACCTCCTAAATGGAGGTAAGGAAGTGGAGTTATTTATGGTGATGAGTTCTGTACCAAGTTTAATTACAAGGCTGTGTATTGAAGCATGTATAAGTGCCTAGCATATTGTGTTCATTTGTGCCTGGAATTCTATAGAGGTGGTTTATCGGTGTAAGATAAGCAAATACTGGGAGCTTTAAAATTCTGTTTAAGATTCATGTGTATTTATTGAGTTTAGATACAGCAGTGATATATTCCTGGAAAAACTGAAGTTCATCTGCATGCTTTAAATACTGAGTGTTTATCTGAGTACTTTAAACAAGTTCCCACAATCTGTGGATAGTCATCTGTTAGTAGTGTCATGAACTAGATTATACTTTTGGAATTACTCACAATCTTAATTGGATTCCTATAGCTATGTTTCTTCTGTTTATATGTGGTGTAATGGTGGTTATCTAGGATTAGGAGTTGGAAACCAGTGTACAGCAGTTCACCTTGATGCCATTCTGTTTACTAGTGTTCTGCTGCTGCTCTGAATTGCAGTCCAGCAAAATTGCTTACCTTTGGGTAAGATTCTGTAGTGGTCACCAGATGTGGCCATGTTGCTGTGCTCCATCACGTGATGAGTTTTATCCAGTTCCTTAACAAAGAGGCTTAAAGAAATTAAGCATTTTCCACCTGGAACAGTCCTGAAAAAATGCTGCTGATGTCAAACAGCATCTTCTACAGCCATTTATAGACAGGTCTGTCATAGATGGGCAGCACAGGCAAGAAGCTGAGATAGTATCTCAAGTTGTAAGAGCTGTGCTGTGACATGCCGTTCTTCTCTGGCTACAGGAGGCTTTGGTTTTTGTCCTGAAGACCTGGAGAGAGGTTTCCTCAAAGAGCCAGGAGGTGATTCGTGATGATTTTTGCACCGGAAGAAGCAGGAGCTGTTCTGATACTGGTTGTCAAACTGCTCAGCATTTAAAAAAAAAAAAAAAAAAAAAAAAAGTATGGAAGATGGAGTTGTTCCCATGAGATTTTCTGTGTCAGCTGGGAAAGGGATGTCTTAAATCTCTTAGAAGTTACGTAGAAGCATGGCTTGTACTACGCTTGCCTTATGTGGAAGGTTAGACTTCAGCAGATCAAGTAGCCAGAAAAAGGAGCATTACCTTTGAAGAGAGGTGGCCCCTTCTCGTCTTGCTGAAGAACGAGAAAAGATGCGTTTTTACCTTCTAACAAGAGAAGCTGATTCAAGGATTTTCAGGCATATATTTCCAAGGGCACCAGTAAAAAGCAGGCAAGAGTGTAAAAACAGGATTCTGGTGGAGGACTGACTGTTTTTCAGTGGGGAGAACTGCTTACTCTGAATAAAATGAACCAAAATACTTAAGGAGCCATTATTGATGAGTCTATGTGTCCAGATTATAATCCTTAAAATGTGGCTTTTGCTATCTTTCATATCTTAATTTGGAGTATGCAGTAGGCAAGAACATTGATCTGAAGTATGTGTATGCCAGAGCTCATTTCTCCTTGGTGAGTCGATTGATCCAGTTAGCCAGGCAAATGGCAAGCAGTTGGTTGTCTTCACAGCATGTTGAGTTCTGGAGACTTCCACCTCCTGCAGGCTTGTTATTAACAACTGCCTTCACTATATGAATGTCTTATCTGGTAATCTCAAGTTTGAGGCCCTTCTAACCATACTATGTAGATGGTTCTATCCCAGCCTTGTGTTTAGTGGGCATACGAGAGACATCTGTTACTAGCAGAGAAGAGAGGCTCTGCAGTAAGACTGGGCTTCTGTGATACATGCTGTTCTTTTCTGCCTTCTTCTCAGGGAGAAATTGCCTCTCTTTGGAGAGGTCTGCAAGTCTGCTTAGTCTCTTTGCTGAATTCATGGTACTTTGAGAGGAAGCCTGAGTATTTTGGTAGAAGCTTTTCTGAAAATTCTTAGTTACTTTTGGTATTACAGATGCTACTTTACATGCAAACCGACAGACATACAGCATATCATTAAGGAATCCAGAATAGCTTACCTTGTCTTTCCTTTCTTGTAAACTGAAGATGCAGATAATTTGCTACAAGTTGTTTGTTGGTATTCAATAATTTTTTATGTGGGAATTTCATAGCGTATTTATCCCATTAAGCTTTGATGCTTTTCAGAAGCAAGTTAAGATGTGCACAAAAAAAAAAAATTGTCCTGTGCACACTGAAGGGCCTAGTGGGATTGTAAGCTATGCTTTCATTTCCCAAGTGTTTGTAGCATTCCTGTCTCCAATTCCGTAATGATGCTTGATGGATCACTGCTAGTTTTTGGTAGTTTTGGTGCTTATAGTGTTCTTGAGAAGGGTAACTGCTGCCATTCCTGTGCCCTGCTGCCTCCTACCTCCAGCTAAGCTGCTTCTTTCCTGGAAGGAGGCTGGAGGAAACTTGTCAGTCTCTTTGGCAGTTCCTCATCCCAGAGCAGTAGGACTTGTTGCATTTTTTTTGTTGCTTTCGTGCCGTCACTGGCTGTTCACATCTTTATTTAACTCTTGTATTTGTAGCAGTTTCCACACTGCTGTTTGCTTTACTATTTTCCCTTTTCCATATACCTGTTTTCTTATGGGAGGGAAATCCTGGTCAGTAAAAAAATATTGATGCTTTTAATAGCCCCTTTCAGTTACCACTGGAATTAAAATTCTTAGCCTCTGTGGTCAAAATGCTGAGATCCTAACTGAAGAAACAAGGAGTTCCAAATTAGATGCACTTCAGGAATAGCAGAGGTGTTTATAGCCTACCTTAGAGTGAATTGAAGGAGGAAATCTTGAAGAAAACCTACTTCTCTGGGAAATGGTGTGACCTGGGTAAAGGACAGGTGCTTACTGAAACATTTGCACACTTGTCTCTTTGCAGAAACTTTGTAGTTGCACTACTGCTTCTTGCTCTGCTTGAAGTCAGCTGGAGTAAGACCTTGTTCTGAGTTGTTGGATCTGTGGGCTTGTGTAAATTGTTAGACTTTGTCTGCATTCCATGCTCGAATGGTCACAGATTGACTGTAGAGTGAACTGTGTGTACCTCAAGTAGCCCATGGTGTTCCTTGGTAAATTGGTTTTTAGGATGGTGGGCAGCCAGATAACAATGCATAGCAAGCACTTCTGGCTTTCTTTCAATGGTAAGCAATAAAAACCCTTCTTAGTCATTGTTTTCTAATTGTTTTCCTACCACTGGGTAGGGAGTACATGTATACACCTGGCATCTAGCTTATAACTTGTAGCTCTAGTATTGTAGAGTTCTGATGGCAGGAACTTGAGGTTGAGTTCTGTTGGGCTGAAATATAAGGCTGTGTTAGGAGTAATCAGGGGCTTAATTCGTGTTCTCATAGTGTCTTAATAATGTTTTGTTAAAGTAAATAAATCTTGAACTTCTTTTCAGAAAGTGAAACATCTTTGGGCCTGGTGCATCAAACACTGAATCACTCTGATGGCTCTAAGTCTCTCCAGTCTTCTGAATTCACTGGTGAGAACTTGCTGTGCAGTAGAACATTCTTATCCAGGC